AATTTTTTTCCAAGGACTCTACTTAGACGAGTTACCCCTTATGAGATCATAAAACAATTTTTTTTGTGACTTTTTTGACCTACCTCATTTTCTTTGATACCCCCTTTCAGCCCCAGTGGTCAGTGGTTGCCAGGATTTGCCGTAGGCGTTTCGTTTCGTAAAGATATCCTGAAAACTTCAAGTCTCTAGCAGCACATCTCCTTCCAGTGAAACAGACACACAGACACGAGGTCGTTTGCATAAGCCCGCTAGATAGCTTTTCTACAGCAGAAGGGCGGGCTAAAATCCGGTATCGTAGCGATATCGAAATCACTATGGAACAGATATGCAAAATGAGTCTAGTATTGCTGAAGGGTTCGAGAGCATTAGTAAATTTAAAAAAATTGAGTAAAAATCTAGTAAATTACTTAAAGACATGTCATAAACCGCACTTACTTTGCTCATTAGTTACACTTTTACCGGATGCACGCATGGAGGTGGCTGTTCCGCTTATCCAGGCCGCCCAATTTTGATGGAATAACTCGCACATTCTACTATTACGAGCGGACATAATCATATTTCTGTTCTATTTTGCTCGAAGCTTCGAACGTTTGTACAGGTTTTGGGCTTTCAATTCTTCATGAACTTCAATTACACATTTCAAGTTCTCGCCGCATTTGAGCATTTGAGCACAGAGGACCGACATTAATACTCCATGTGGCCACAGCGGTAGGCCAGACGTAAGACCAATAATGAACGCAAGGATGGATTACTGATTCTTGTAGGGGAGGCAAACATTTTAAAGGGCTGTTAATCAGGCGGTGAGGAGAGGAGTATCTCTTATCCTACGTCCCCGCGTTAAACCCGTTCCAGTTTGTATTCAGTCCGTATGGCGGTGGTGCTTCTACCAAAGCATTCTTCAATTTCTATTTCGAAGTCAGAAAACAATAATACCTACCCTTCATTAATGTTTAAGATTGCGTTTCCGTTTCATTTGGGCCATTTTTGGCAAATTACTAAAAAAAACCCAGTAATTTTCGGAAATTTGTCCAGGTAGATTTAAAGATCTCTATCATCATCTAATAGTGGAGAGAGTATTTGCTCAAAGGGCTATCGGAACCTACTTTTAACAGTCGGTCGACAACCTTTCGACGTCCATGCTACTCAGGTCCCTATCCTATTCGTAAGGAGGGTGGAAATATTGATACCAAATAGCGGAATATCAAATTCAAAAGACCGACACGACGATTTATCGATGCGATCGCTATCAATATAGATGCGGTATCGCACATTCTTCTCGCACCTTGTTCTTCTCGCGGTACTCGACCGTCTCCTTCATGAGGCAGAGGAAGAACGTGGTCATGCCCCTGAAGACAGTCCGGAAGGGGAGCAGCTTGACGAACACGGGGTGGATGGAGACGAGGAAGAAGCGGAAGAGACCCAGCAGGTTGCGGCTGAACAGCTCGCGCGACATGAGGTAGAACTCGTCGCTCTCACCCCTGACCGTGTTGCAGTCGATGCCGAAGGCCACCGACCCGATCACGTCCGTGCTGTAGCGGGTTAGCAGCTCCTTGAACTCCACCTGCAACCCCAGTCAACGATCACAACGAGCCCTCTCCCGGTCCAGCAGCGTCCAGCATCCAGCGTACGCCACGGGGGAGGAGCGCGGCGAGCGGACTGTACAGCGTCCCGCCAAACAGGCCACTCCGGCACATGCTCGCCTTTTCGGTGCAAATGCAGGAAAACTGTTCGATAGGTCTATGATCCCGCTACATTTCCTCGCCATCAGTAATCGTCCCCGATCAACAGTGCTCGTACTGGCACCGGGGCGACATAACTCAAAATCGGGTATTTAGACCCTGTGTCACAAAGAGAGGAGGGATGTGGGCGTTGCTGACTACTTACCTCAGGTAGTAACCACACATCGGGTTATCCTCAGCTGCCGCGCGTCCTGCGCCCGGTGGCGGCCTCGAGAACATAGTACCCGAGAAGCGGATATTTGTATACAATTTTGGATTAAGTTTTTGATATGACCAACCACATGTGGTTGCGTTTCTTTGCGTTTCGACTATGAACAATAATGTGGTATGTGTTGTGAATAGGCAAATTTCGCCACACGATAATAACAACCGCTTACCTGTACTGACCGCTTAGAAAACCGCTCACCTGTGCAGACTGTTTGGAAAACCGCTGAAATGGATCTTCTATGCATTTTGAGATATTGGTATCAAGCGATTCTCAAAAGACGCTGATTATAATGATACCGATAACTCAAAATGTGTAAAAATGTCATTTGAGCGGTTTTCCAAACAGTCTGCAGAGGTAAGCGGCTTTCTAAACGCTCGCTAGAGGGGGGAGGTTTCTAAACGCTCGCTAGAGGAAAGCGGCTCTTACTCTCGCTTGTCGATTTGTCCGTATCAAAATTGGTAACCGATTGACACGTGAAAAAAAGGTGACTAATCACTGTATCACACACGGAAAAAAATGACTTCGTTGTCAGGATCGATTATGTTTGGTAGGGTAAATTCGATAGCTGGAATCGAGAATCCGAGACCCACAACCAAGGGTTGGTTGCCATGACCGGACACTTGTACGAATAGAACAAACCCCAGCTTGGTTCTCTTCGTACAAGTGTCCGGTCGTGAGAACCAACCCCTGCTTGTGAGTATCGGATTCTCGATTCCAGCTATCGAATTTAGCCTACCAAACAGAACTGATCCCCACAACAAAGTCTTTTTTTTCCGTGCAACCACACAACTACCATATTTATTTTCCTGGCGTCCCTACAGGCCAACAATAGGCAACAGGGTGATCAATTAAATTGTCAAGTGACTAATTTTGCTCTGAAATTATTCTTTGAACCCTCGTACATACAACAGTGTACTCAAGAGAGATATCATTTTGAATTCGTTTTCGAGACATTTCAAAGGTCAGGTCGAAAACCTGCCAACAGAGGTGTCAATTTTCTTTTAGCTGTAGAGTGCATTTAATCTTCCTCCTACCTCGTTGTCAGCCTTCGCGGCCTTGTCCCGCACCGCCTCATTCAGTTGATCGGTGATGCCGGACATCAAGGGAAACATGCCCTTGAGTTTGCCCGAGGTAAAAGTGGGGCTCAGCTTCATCCTTAGGTTTTTCCATCGTGCGCCTTCTAGGAAGAAAAGGTTCTGGCTGAAAGGATCACTCTCGTCAGTGGGGTTGCCGCGACCGTGAAAACTGCCGAAACATGAAAATTTTTAATTCAAACAGAAACTTTATGCCCACCCACACTGTTATATATTGGAAGTTTTCGAAACAATTGACGTATTGTTTTACCGTAGAATCAAGGCTCCATAACTTATTTCTTAACAGCCTGTCACGTTTTTTTAAGAGGGAAAGTTATAACTTGTTTAAAAATGGCTACACTGAGAATTACAAGGCAGGACGGACCCCGACCTTAAAAAGAAAATTTAAATATGATATTTTTTTGGTTTAAGAACGTTAATATGTCGTTTACTTCGAAAACATCCCTTCTACTCTACCTAATTTATATTACCCCTGCCTTACATTACCTAGGGGATAGCAGGTACCATTTGGAATATGTGAGGTGAGGCAGGGGGTTCAATGCTTCAGGTTATGATAGTCAGGGATGCTATACTTATGCTAGGCAGAGATGCCCTAATTTTGTTAAACGTGTCCTTACTGGCTAAAGTCCTTCGTGAGGATGGCCTTGGTGACTTCCGGGTCGATGGGGACCAGGACTGGGCGCCGCGCCTGGAACGTGCCCACGAAGCGCTCCTTGCCCTTGTACTTCTGGTAGATGGGCGTGAGCAGCTCGTAGAAAGGCTTGCCGAAGGGCAGGCCGCCGCCACCGTCGCCTGTCAGCGAGAAGGGGTTGCAGGACACGATGCCCCTGTCAGTCCAGTAGCTGAAGTTGCGTGTGAAGTAGTACCAGACGGCAGCCAGTAGCGCGGCCACGGCCGCGAGCACGGAGGGCACAATCATGGCGGGAGTAGGGAAGCACTGCGAAAATTAAAGGTATGCCGAGCACTGCTGTTAGAAATTTTCGGAAACTTCCCAGTTTTTAAACGGTGAAATTCTTCTCTTTTTTATAAATTTAAAATTCATTCGCCATAATTCGACGCGTCCGTCGAACAAAGCAACATCTGCAGAGCGCCCGGTAACAAAGACGAATCTGTGAAGGATCTCTTATCATCACATAGCTGAAACACGAAAAAGAGACAGCCCCACTGAACAGGCAAAAAGGCCCTTCGGTTTTTTACATATGCTCTACACTCTTAGTTTCTTACGAAGAGAAGTCTTCGTATTATAAAGA